CTCCCCTCCTCCTCCTCCTCCTCCTCCTCCTCCTCCTCCTACTCCTCTCCCCCTCCCGTCCCTCCCCTCCTCCCTGCTCCTCTCCTCCGCCTCCTCCGCCGCCTCCGCCCCCCTCCTCCCTCCTCCCTCCTCCCTCCTGCCTCCTCCCTTCCTCCCTCCGCCTCCGCCTCCTACTCAGCCCTCCTCCTCCTCCTCCCTCCTCCTCCTCCGCCTCCTCTCCCCTCCTCATCATCCTCCTCCCTCCTCCCCTCCTCCTCCTCCTCCTCCTCCCCCTCCTCCTCGTGCTCGAACCGCACTTCTGAAGGAACCTCAGGTTTCCACAGAGCTGGTCCCTGCAGGGGCCCCCCCCCCCAGGGCTCGGGCCGCGGCGCCGCGCGGCGGCGCCTGCGGGCCAGGGCCCGTGCGCGACGGGATGCCCTTGCGGCGGCCGATCGGCACGTGCAGCACGCACTCCCGAGGGTTTCCCGCAGCTCGGTGCCCAGGGCCTGGCGCCCCCAGCCGACCCAGACCCCCCGACGTCGTGATTTTTGCCGTGTTGGCAGCGTCAGACGCCCAGAGGTCTGGACCCCCCCGGGACTGGTTTTTCGTCCCGGGTCGTTTTCGTTGACGGGCCCGAGGCCCGGGAAGGGCTCCCAGAGGCCGAAGATTGGGGAAAACCAGCCGTCGCGATTCTTTCGCAACGCACGGGGGTCTGGGTAAGGCTCCTCCAGCCTCGGGCCGCGGCGCCGCGCGGCAGCGCCTACGGGCCAGGGCCTGGGAATCACGGGGCGCCTTGCGGCGGCCGTTCGGCGCGCGCAGAACGCACTCCTGAAGCTTGCCCGCAATTCTTCTCCGGGCCTGGCGCCCAGGTCCTGGGAATTACGGGGTGCCTTGAGGCGGCCGTTTTGCGCACTCGGGAAGGTTCCCCATGCTGAAGCAGTATGGGGAAACTGTCAGGGACCAAAGACGGGGGTTGGCGGCGAATCAGAAACGGTTTGACAAGCGCGGCGCGCTAAAGGGAGGGACGGAGGGAGGGTGGTTGAGGAGGAAGAGGTGGGGTAGAAGGGGCGGGAATCAGGCGGAAGAGGAGGAGAAGGAGGAGGGGGAGGCGGAGGAGGGGAAGGAGGAGGAGGGGGAGACGCGTGATGGCCTAGCCTAGGCATAAAGAAGTACATACAGCTGTCAGTTCTACTTTGCGCCAAACCCTTCGATCATGGATTGCAGGAGTGATGAGATATTCATGGGGAAAACGCATGATGAGGCAGCTGCTGCAGAGGTGATGAGGGCAAGGAACGGGAGAGGTCGGGCACGGCGGGAGGAGCAAACGGAGGAGCAGGAGGAGGACGAGGAGGAGGAGGACGAGGAGGAGGAGGAGGAGGAGGAGGAGGAGCACGATATTACGTGCGAGGAGGAGGAGGAGGAGGAGGAGGAGGTGGGGCAGGAGGAGGGCGCACCCACTGGACGAACCGTGGTGTCAGGCCTGCGACGCCGCGGTTGTCGGACACGCGGCGGAGACCTCGGCGCCGTGGGCGGGCAGCCGGGCGCTCCCCGCCGACGCCTGCGGCCAGGCCTTCCTGCCACCAGCTGGGGGCGGACTCGTCGGGCTGCGCAGCCTCGCGCCGCCTGCCCGCTGGCGCTGGGGCCCGGCAGGCGTGCCCGGCCTGTCCGCGGCGAGCTCGGGCTCCACCGCTTGCAGGGCTTCCCCGCGTGCCTGCCCGCGAGCGCGCGCGCGGCCGCCGCAGGCGCGGGGCGGCCGCTGCGGGCGAGCGGCGCCGACTGGCCGTGCGCCGCCAGGGGAGCCCTGGGAGGTGGCGCAGCGCGCAGCGCGCTCTCGCAGGGCCGGAGCAGCAGGAGCGTATTTTTTTATTGCTCGGGGCATCATGGGCAACATAGCTAGCCCCCGGCCCCCCCTCCCCCCCCTTACAACGTAACGCCCCTCCCCCCCAGTGCGCTCTGGGCACTACCGCCGTGCGCACGGCGGGAGGGAGGCGTTACATTATACCCCCCCCTGCCCCCCCCCTATTATTGCCCATTATCGCCGAGAATAAAGAAACGCGCTCCAAGCGCGCTGGCAGCGGCTCCGACCGCGTTGTCAACGCCGGCCCCAGCAGGCGCGCCAGCATCGGCAAACATGTGTAGCAGCTCCGAGGCTGCTGACGGCTGTCTGATGCGGGGTGTGCCTGACTACCCGTTGGACGTTCTCGGTTCACGACGGAGCGGGTGATGACGATGATTTTGGGTGGGCCCGCCTATCGGACACTCTTGATTCACGACTGCGGCCACAAAGGACATCCACAGCTCCAGGAGCTCTCTCCTTTGTGCTGGTCTTGGATGGGATTTTATGGGGTGGTGTCAGGGCCACTCTCAGGTACATCATGCGCATGTCCATCGGAATCGCTTTCTGAGGTCTCCCCGCATGCGTGTCTTTCCTCTCGCTCTTGCCTCCCGGAGGCGAAACGCTGGCTAGCCCCGCTGGGGTTGGCCTGTTTTCTGCCTTCTCTGCCTGTCTCGTTCTCGCTTCCCCCCCGAATGGTAAAGTGGTTGCTCGCGGAGGGCCGGAAGTGCGCGCCCTTGTATGTTGCCCTCTCTTCTGCTTCCTCCCTGCCTCCCCTCTAGTTGTGCTCTGTTTGTTTCTTCCCAAACGAGTTGGTGGTAGACCATCGCTTGCGTGTGCCGTATCCCTGCCCCGCCGAGGGTGGCCAGGCCAACCCCAGCCCTTGTGCTGTGCTTGCCCGTCCGCCGCCCAGGCGGGCTCAGGCTCGGCGCCATGCCGCCACACATTTGACATCTGACTTTGACTTGACGGGCCCAGTATTGCCAGGGGTGTGCTGTCGCTGTAGCTGTGCCTATCTCTCTCTCTCTCTTTCTTTCTCCATTATCTCAGTTCTCTCTCTCCTCACCGCTACTCGTTGCTCCCTGTCTTTAGGAGGTACCGCTGGCCGTGTCGTCAGCGGGAGTACCTGCACATAGTGCCGTTGCCTCGCCGCGTTTTCCCTCCCCTGTTTGGGCGTCGGCGCTCCTCCTCCTCTTTTTCCTTCTCCTTCTCCTCCTCCTCTTTTTCCTTCTCCTCCTCCTCCTCCTCCGCCGCCTCCTCCTAGTTTTCCTCCGCCTCCTCCTCCTCCTCCTCCTCCTCCTCCTCCTCCTCCTCTGGCTGGTTGTGCGCCCCATGCAGTTCAGGTCTCAGGCCTTGCTTCTTGGGACTCGTCATTTTTCTCTGCCTTGGCTCTCCATCGTTTCAGTGCTTGCCCATGTATAACCACGCATGGGCTCGAGAACTCTGCTGCCAGGCGGCCAACTTGCAATCCTGTTGTGGTATGCAGCGTTTGACGACGAGGCGGCCAGTTGTTGTGCGAGGACAAAATACGCGCGGGCAGCTGGCCTTTGCCGCCGAAGCAGAACGACCACGTGCTGGCGGACGCGCACTTCCTGCCAGCGCTGGCGCTCCCAGTGCAGCTGGGCCTCCCGCCTGGCGCCAGCGCCACGTGACTGCGCGAGGGCGGACGCGACGCGCGCTGCGGAACCAACTTGGCCGCCGCGCCGCCGCACCGACTCGGGTGCCGCGATGGCGGCGGAGCGCTCGCGCGCCACAGTGGCGTCTAGGATTGGCTCGCGCGCTGGCTGCGCGCCCGCGGCGTTACTTGGGTGGCCACAGAGCAGGCCGCCCCCCACCTGGGACCTGGGACCGCTTGTGGTCGCGCGGCAGCTTGGAGGCCATCCCCAGGCGTCATGTACGTTGACGCGGTGGTGACGGACGCCGTGCTCAGGGCGGGCGCGGCAGCGGGCCAGGGCCGCGCCGTCTGGGACGGCGGTGCCGCGGCGGCCGCGGAGGAGCGCAAGCACAAGCTGCACCCGGTCCCAGCGCTCACGGACTTCGCGCTGGAAGCCCCGGGCCGTGGGCCGCGCTGGGACAGAAGCGCGGGCGCTGCTCCGCACCTGGGCGCGCAGCGAGTGCGACGCGCTGGCGGCGGTCCGCCAAAGCCTGGCAGCCGCGCTGCAGCGCGGCAGCGCTGAGGCCTATCTCGCAGCGTGCTTCGCAGCGCGCGGCACAGTGCCGCTGCGCTGGTGGCGCTGAGCCCGCGGCCCGCCGCCGCGCGCCTGAGCAAGGGGCGGGCCCGGGCGGCCGCGGAGGGCGCTGGCTGACGCGGCGGCGGCCTGCTGCTTGGGGGTCTTGGCCGACCTGGACTGTCCCTCCAGCCCCCCCCCTCCCTCGTCCTCCCTCTGCGCCGCTGCCGCCTTTTTTCCCAGCCCCCGCTCACTCCTTTGTTGTTCCCCCTCTTCCTCCCTCGTTTCTTGCCTCCGGCGGGCGCGAGAATGCCTAAGGTGGGGGCACCTGTGGCTCACGTTTCCCCGCCGCGCGTCCGTCGCCTCCCCTTTCCAGTTCCTTCCTGGTCTCCCCCCCCCCTCCTCCTCTCCCTCATGCCCTCCCAGCTGCTCTCGCCAGCTGCGCCGGCTCGGGCGCGCGTTGGCGGAAGTGGCAGGCGCTTCGTGTCGTGTCTCGTTGGCGCCGCCCGCCTCTGCCCGACGCGGTTTCGTGCGCGTTGCCTTCAGGACACTTCATGACTTCCTCGCCTGCTGCTGCAGCTTCTGCTGTTTTTGTTTGCCCGCCTCTGTCCTCTGCCTTCTGTTCTGCCGAGGATGATGATGATGGTGGTGATGATGAGGATAGATGAGGGTGATGGATGATGATGGTGGTGATGGTGATGGTGATGATGCAGATGATGATGCTGCTGATGATGATGATGACGATGATGATGAATATGCCGAATATGATGATGAATATGCTGATGACGATGATGGTGATGATGATGATGATGAGAGGGAAGAGTTGGGTGGAGGGGTGGGGGGGCGTGGGGAAACGCGGCCTGAATACCTGGCCAGGGAGCCAGCCTACCTTCCTCTCTTTCTTTTTGTTTCTCTCTCTCTCTCTTTCTCCCCGCCTGCACGCCGGAGGCGGAAGCCGGGAGGTCCGCGGGGGAGGCCCGACGGGCCCGCCGAGGGGCCCGCCCCCCCCCCCCCCCGAGGAACCCCAGGGCGAGAAGCCCTGGGAGGCCAAGGCGCGGGAACTCGAGGAGAGACCGCCGCGGCCGACGTGCGCCCCTCTGGCCGGCAGGGCGGCGGCCGGCTGGCGCCCCAGGGGGGGGCGGGCGGTCTTCGCGCATCGTTCCCTGAAGATTGCTCCTCATGCGTCTCCTCCTCCTCCTCCTCCTCCTCCTCCTCCTCCTCCTCCTCCTCCTCCTCCTCCTCCTCCGTCTCCGTCTCCGTCTCCGTCTCCGTCTCCGTCTCCGTCTCCGTCTCCGTCTCCGTCTCCGCCGTCTCCGCCTCTTCACGGGGCCGAATTGGGAGCCTTGAAGCTTCTGCTGCAGAAAGCCATTCGCCCCGTCACGGCCGTGGCAGATTCGGATTCCGCGCTTCTCGACGTGACGGAACGTGGCGCAGTAGCGATCGCGCGCCACTCCTCTGCTTGCGCTTGCGCTTGCAGATGGCAAATCCCCTGGAGGCTCTTGGGCGAGTTCGGTGGGCTGTGTGAGGAAGGACTTTCCATCGAGCCATTGTACCATGGCTGATGTAGATCGTGGCAAGATTTCCCGCGAGGATCGGTCAGGCAATCTCCACGCTGATCTGCGGGCCCGGTTTGCTGGCCGTCTCGAGCGTACTCCGCTGCGCGCGCGCGTAGACTGAAGGCCGAGCCGTCTGTAGAGCGCGCAGGCCCTCAGGTAGGCGCGTGGCACGCGGCATGTTGCGCAGCGCGTGCACCTCGCGCCCCACCCCTATCCTCCGGATCGTGTGTCCGCCCCTCCTGCACGATCTTCGCGGGCCGTCTGCCCGCCCGTGGTGCGCCCGCCGCTGCCGTCTCGGGGGCCCCGTCGTCTGCGACGCGCGGCGGCGCGCTCGAGGGCGGGGTCTCGGAGGCCAACCGACGGCTGCGGAGAGGGGGCGGGAGGGAACGTGCGATTTTGCGTCTCGCCGTTGAGGGTAGATCGATTGCTCGAGTCGTGGTGCCGCTCATCGCCTGCCTCGGAGGTGGGGCTCACCGGTCGAAGCAACTCAAAGGATGTTTGGAAGGCTTATGGCCGACCCGGGACCCACGATAACAAAGCTCTGCGTCGGGTTTCCTGTGGGTTTAGCCTGTGGTCCTGAAAGCTGCGAATCCTGCTCAGCTGGTGCGTTTGGACTGTTGAGTTGACTTCCTTCGACTTGCCCTCAGGCGGAGAGCCCCACGGCTTCGGGAAGAAGAGGAAGAGGATGACGAGGAGGAGGGGGAGGAGAACCAGGAGGAGGAGGAGGAGGAGGAGAAGGAGGAGGAGGAGGAGAAGGAGGAGGAGGAGAAGGAGGAGGAGGACGGAGGGGGGCGGGAGGGAGGGAGGAGGGAGGAGGGAGGAGGGCGAGGACGAGGACGACACCAGGTTTTCGGGCCATAACTCGGGTCGTCGAGGGCCGGTCGGCACGAACCCGGCACACCTCGATGCCGTCCTCCTCCTCGAACGCCCGAGAACCTCGCACCTCGATGCCGTCCTCCTCCTCGAACGCCCGAGAACCTCGAACCTCGATGCCGCCCGCCTCCTCCTCGAACGCCCGAGAACCTCGAACCTCGATGCCGCCCGCCTCCTCGAACCCCTCCTCGATCCCCCTCTTGGGCTCCTGGGTCCCCCGCCTGCCGCCCCCGCCCGAGGAGATCGCCAGGGAGCACAGGCGCCGCCGCGAGGCGCGCGAGGCGGAGCGGCGGAGCGCCGAGGCGGAGGAGCCGCGGCCCCGCCTCCTCCTCCTCCTCCTCCTCCTCCTCCTCCTCCTCCTCCTAATCCTTTCCCTCCTCCTCCTACTCTCCTCCTCCCTCCTCCTCCTCCTCCTCCTCCTCCTCCTCCTAATCCTCTCTCCTCCTCCTCCTCCCCTCCTCCTCCTCCTCCTCCTCTCCTCCTCCTCCTCCTGATCCTCCTCCTCCTCCTCCTCCTCCTCCTCCTCCTCCTGATCCTCCTCCTCGTCCTCCTCCTCCTTCCCCTCCTCCTCCTCCTCCTCCTTTCCCTCCTCCTCCTCCTCCCCCCCCTCTGGGGGGCCCCACCCTCTTCGCCGTCTCTCGGGCCGTCGGCCCGTGCGCCGGCCGAAGTTCTGGCCGACGTAGCCACGAGGCCCAACAGCACGGCTGCCAAGACGGCCTCTGCCACCCAGGCTGTCAACATGTGTCGGGCGACGAAATCGATACATGAGGCGTTCCAGAAATGGCCTTGTCTGCGAGGATATAATAGGAGTTGTCATCTCTTCCGCCGCGGAAGGCGGCGGAAGGTCGGCGGAACTAAAACGAGGCCGCCTCTGCCAGCGGAAGCTCGGCGGAAGCTCGGCGGAAGATGGCGGAAAGTAAAAAATGCGCCCCCAAGAGATGAACACGTTTTTTGTTGTTCAGGGTTTCCGAAGTCGCCCACATATCCACTGCTCCCTGGCCATGCCCATCCTGAACCCAGGAGCTGCGTATAAGCCCTCCCGGCCCGAGCCAGGAGGGCGTGGCGTGTACACCGCTGCTGGGTTCACGCTGGGTCGAGCCAGTTTCAGTTTTCGAACGTTGTCGTCGCTTCCGGGGAACCATAATCGGAAACAAGAGCATGTACATGACCAGTGGCGGGCTGTTTTTCGATCCCCGGATTTTTAGGGTCGGGGACGACGTCGGGGTGGTGTGGTGTATACTATTTGTCCCCGTCTTCCCAGGAAAGCAACGGAAAATCTATACGCCAAGATCCGCCCTCGTGTGCACATTTCAGTGCGGGCTGGAAACAGCGTAGGTGTGGTTATATGTATATGTATATATATAGAGAGAGAGAGAGAGAGAAAGCAAGAGAGCAAGAGAGAAAGAGAGAGAGAGAGAGAGCGAGAGAGAGGGAGCGAGAGTTCGGCTCCTCACATAATCAAGCAGGTGGAGCTCCGCGCGGATTTTTTGGATCGGCGCTGGGGCCCCCCGGGTCGCCCGCCCGCTTCGCCTGTCTCTCTGGCCGGCGATGTGTGATGTATTACCACAGCTTTTCGGAAGACCTCATCGGTTTCTGGATGTTTTCTCGCTTCGGCATGCTTTCATCGGTTTTCGGACGTCCCCGTCGATTCCGAAGAAGACAATGGCACAATCATGAAGTCCTGGAGCTCCGCACGGATTCTTTGGATCGGCGTTGGGCCCCCTGGCGGCGCCTCCGGCGCCGCCCTTGGCGCGATCCGCGCGTCAGGGAGGGGGGCCTGGCGCCATCCAAGGAATCCGAGTGGATCTCCGGCAGTTTATGCTTATTGAGGGAAGAAGCACGGGGACCATGATCTTGCCGCGTGATGCTGTCGATGCCGATCTTGGTCATGGTCCATGTCGGCCGTCGCCGATTCGCGATGGTGATCAACGCATTGACGCTGACCAGGGTCGACGGTGACCAAGATCGGAACGAAGTGCCCGCCTGCAGTCTTGGTCATGGGCCGTTTTCTCCCCCTCCAGTTTATGCAGTTGTTTGTTTCGCTGTGGCTCCTCTCGATGTTTTCTCGCCTCGGGATGCGTTTCGGCAGTGGCGCCCCGCCAAGAGCGCCCCGGGAGTGCCACCATCACCCCGAGCGGCCGCCCGGAGGCCCGGCTTATGGCATGAAAACACGTCGTCGTCCTCGTCCTCGCCCTCCTCCCTTCTCCCTCCTCCTTCTCCTCCATCCTCTTCCTCCCTTCCCCCCTCCTCCTCCTCCCTCCACTCCTCGTCCTTCTCCTCGTCCTCCCCCTCCTCCTCCACCTCCTTCCTTCCTTCTCCTCCTCCTCCTCCACCTCCTCCTCCTCCACCTCCTCCTCTGGGCCCACTAACAGGGTCTAGGCGCCCCAAAGCCATATTAGTTCAAGTCCTCCTCCTCCTCCTCCTCCTCCTCCTCCTCTTCTCCCTCCACGCGGGCCCCGGCGGAATCGTGAGCGGTGGCGGTCCGACCTAGGGCCGCGGGTCACGCGCGTGGGCCGGGAGGGGGAGCAACATAACCTCCCAGACTTCCACCCCGACTCCAGATCCGCTGACCTTCTGGGCGATTCCGTAAGCTCCTCTGGTGTCGATTTCTGCCTTGCCTTGCCGCCGCTGTGTCCGCCATGCCGTCGCGGCGTACGCGCCCTACTGTTCTGAGGCGGAAAGTTCCGCCTCATGTCTTGCGCCTTTTGGGATGCATGTCCGACGCATTTCGAAGTCCGATAATAAACGAAAGTCCGGCGGATCCCGTCAGGGCTGAGGGGCCGGGTCAGGGGGAGCAACATCGATTTGGAATCGGCGTTGCATCGCCGATATATTGGCGATGTGACCCCGATCGCGAATGCGTAGGCTCCTGGGCGGGGTCGGCCATCGGCCTCAGTCGCCCACTGATTGCTGGTAGGGGCCTGATAGCTCGCCCCGCCCAGGAGCGTGCGGATTCGCAATCGGAGGCCTATCGCCGATCTATCAGCGAGGCATCGTCGATTCAAGGTCGATGTTTCCACCCCTCGGCCGGTGCGCCCCGTATAGTTGCCCCTCCGCCTTGATCATATTGAGTACGGACGCGGGCCTTGGGCGTCTCGAGCGGGACCTCAGCTGCTCTACTCCCCCCTGCTCTGTTAAGTTTAGGACAACAGCATCGGCAGCACTTGTTCTGATACGCTTCGCTCTTCGTTGCCTGGGTGTTTTTGGACATGTGTGCCCCAAGCCCTCGATACGCGCCCTCTTCGTCTTCTGTCGTGCCAATGCTGGGGGTCTGTGTTCCTTGCCTGTCACGTGTAGTTGGCGCGGGTGCAGCCCTTCGAATAGGAGGAGGAGGAGGAGGAGGAGGAGGAGGAGGAGGAGGAGGGTACACGAAAAGGGCGAGAGCGAGGAAAGGAGGAGGAAACGAGAAGGGAGCGGGGCAAGATGATGGCAGGAGGACTCAGGGCAAAGGAGATTGGCTCGCTGACAGGAAGAGGAGCGAAGAGCAATCATTTTGGCAAGCCGGCCCCGGCGGGCAAGTCGGGCGGGCGTACCTCGGAGGGCGAGTCGGACGGGCGGGCTTGACGAGCGGGTCGAGCGGTACGTTAGATCGGACTGGCGGGCGTCTAACCGGGTGAACTGGCGGACCCTACCCGGCGTGTCGGGCGGGCGGACTCTACCAGGCAGGTCGGGTGGGCGGGCCCCAACGAGCGGATCTGACGGACGGGGCACTGAAGACGAATGTCGCAAATCGCGAAGGAGACTCAGACGAGAGCATGAGTCCTGAGTAAAGTATGAGGAGGTCTCGCACGAGAGCGCCATTCAGGGGCGTCGAGACTGCAACGCCTTTGTAGAGGGTGAGGCAATCCTATGCGAGACCGCGGTTACATTGCAAGTTATGGGGAAACCTGGAGCGCGATGTTGCACACATCGTTAGGAAGTATCAGGACGGAGCCGCTGTTTGTTGTAGTCTGGCGGCCAGAAGCGCAGGCTGAGCAGGAAGGCTTGCCTTGACGAAAACCAGGTGCGAGCCCCAGGAGGCGGGGGCACTTCACTTGAAAAAGCAGTGCGCGCCCGAGAGGGGGATCAACAGCATCTATTTGTCCGAAGCGAGGGCTCAACGACAGCAGTAGCCGTTCTTGAGCCTCCCGGGTGTGACCCTCTGGCCCAGGTCGTGCAGCCGTGATGGATTTGCCACTCCGACGATTGGGCAGGGGGATGCTGAGTCCCTCCCTCAAAGACTGGAGGCAGTCCCTCCACAATGAGGACGCTGAGATAAGGGCCACTTTGAACCCAGGAGGGGCTCTGGTTTTCGGCCCCTTCCTTGGGTCCCAGGTCGGGCAGCCTATTCGACGCCGAGGCTTGCCGTGTCCCGACAAGCCCCTTCGCTCCTTCTTCGGCGTTGCTTATGGTAGAACGGTGGTATGGGGAATGGGTCGGCAGTTTTCGGGCAATAGCTCGGATCTCCTGCGACCGTGTGGGACGATCCGGGCAGGCCCGGAACGCCTTTGGCGAGGGGCAGTTGCCGAAGTATGCCCGGAGGCTGGGAAATTCGCCGAGAGCCTCCTCCTCCTCCTCCTCGTTCCCCTCCTCCTCCTCCTCCTCCTGTTTCCTAGTTCCTGGATGCTATATAGACTCCTCCTCCTCCCTCCTCCTCCTCCTCCTCCTCCTCCTCCTCCTCCTCCTCCTCCTCCTCCTCCTCGTCCCCCTCCTCCTCCTCCCCCTCCTCCTCCTCCTCCTTCTCCTCCTCCTCCTCCTCCTCCTCCTCCTCCTCCTCCTCCTCCTCCCCCTCCCCCTCCTCCTCCCCCTCCTCCTCCTCCTCCTCCTCCTCCTCCTCCTCCTCCTCCTCCTCCTCCTCCTCCTCCCCATCCCCATCCCCATCTGCCTCCCTCCCTGAGAACGGCGAGCCCTCCCCAAGTATTAGGCGGCAGCCCCTCCTCCGCCGCCCCAGGAGCAGCGCCGCGCGGCCGAGGAGGCCGCGGCCGCGGCCGAGCAACAGCGGCGCAAGGCCGTCCCCCGCACCGTGCGTGCTGACTACACGCACGCGCGCACGGGAGCGCACGCACGCGCGCACGCACGCACGCACGCGCGCGCACGCACGCACGCACGCACGCACGCACGCACGCACGCACGCACGCACGCAGCACACACACACACAGACACACAGACACACAGACACACAGACACACAGACACACAGACACACAGACACACAGACACACAGACACACAGACACACAGACACACAGACACACAGACACACAGACACACAGACACACAGACACACAGACACACAGACACACAGACACACAGACACACAGACACACAGACACACAGACACACAGACACACAGACACACAGACACACAGACTCACAGACTCACAGACTCACAGACTCACAGACACACAGACACACAGACACACAGACACGGGGACGCTCTTCCTGGGCCGACACCCCCCTCGACGTATCGGACGAGGACCTCGACGGAGATGAGGAGGAGCGGGTGCGTGCTTCGTCGGCCCCCCCGCTGCAGGACGCTGCCGAGCGCGGCCAAGCTGCACGGCGAGGAGAGGCGCACGGTGCGCGGCCCTCAGCCCAGCCGCTGGCGAGGGACCTGGCCAACGCTGGCGCAGCCCTCCTTGACTTCCAGCCGCTGGCGACGGCTGCTGGTGGCCGTGCTGGTGTGGGCCGCAGTCGGGTTTGACGTCGACTCGGCAGGCCCGTGTTCGGTTGACAACAGGAGGGTCAGACGGCGCTTGAGTGAACAGGTGCCAGTGGAGCGGGGAGCCCAAGGCCTTTCCCTGGGCTTGGGCAAACCTGCGAGTGCGGCACCTGGCCAAGGGGGAGCGGTGAGGGCCGCCGACGGGCGGGTGGCCGATGCCCCTCACCCCCCCGCGCTCCCTGTCGAGGCCGCTGACGAGCGGGTAGCCGAGACCCTCGACGGGCGTAGCCAAGCCAAGGTGTCAAGTGACCCGAGGACGAGGATGACGGCACAGGAGGCCTGCATTGGCAAGGTCTGCCTCGGGCCGCAGCCCGCCCCTGAGTCAGACCCTCGAGGACCTGGCCCCCTGCGTGCTGGCCTGGAGCTCCTGGACTGCAGCGGTAATTTCTGGAACAGGAGCGTCGAGGTCCTCGAGGCCTTCTTCCACGCCCACCAGTACTGGCCGCAGCTGGTCCTCCTTCAGGAGACGATGCTAACCCAGGAGCGCCTTCCTGGGGCCAGGGCGCTCGCACGCCGCCTCGGCTACACCGCCTTCTTCCATGAGGCTGTGGCCACGGGCCAGTCTGGCCCGAACGCCACGTCGGGCGGCGTCGCGATCTTGGTGAGGGCTGGTCTCCAGGCAGAGGAGTCCGCATGCCAGATCCCTGCGGCCCTGCGCCACCGCCTCATTGGCGTAGAGGTGACGGCGCTGTCGGGCCTCCGCCTCCTGGCCTTGGCTGGGTACTTCCAGCACTGCTTGGGCCCGAGGGGGATCAACCTCGACCTGTTCTCCTCGGTCGCGGACCTAGTGGCATTCTCGCTGGACTTGCCCTGGGTCCTCCAGGCTGATTTCAACATGGAGCCCGAGCCCCTGCAGGAGCTGGGCTGGCCTGCAGCAGTTCGTGGTCAAGTGCTCGGACCCTCCGAGGCGACCTGCTGCGCCCAGGGCATGGAGCACGTCTACGACTGGTTCGTCGCGTCGTCCGACCTGGCCGCGTGCACGGCGTCCTGCGCGACCACACTCAACGACTTCGGGCTGCGCCCGCATTCTCCTGTGCTGCTGCGCCTCCAGGACGTCAGGTGCGATGCCCCGGTCGAGGTGCCCTCCCGTCCTGCTCGGTTTCCAGATGTGGAGGTCAAAGGCCTGCGCTCTCGCGAGGACGCCCTGGCCCAGGCCTTCACTGTCGGCAAGCGCGGGAAGGTGTCGCAGAAGGAGGTTGCTTGGTCATGGGCTCAGGGTTCGCGCCCGACCTGTCTCTCCGCTGCCTTCAGCGAGTGGATCGAGGCGGCGGAGGGCACTCTCACGGGCACCCACGAGATTGAGCCAGGCGACCTGCCGCGCTACCTTGGGCGGGCGGCAGGGCCCAAGACCAAGCGCATGCCCTTCAGCGCGCTGGTGCAGCGCGAGGCCAGGTTGAAGTTCAGCATGCTGACCCACCGCCTGAAGAGCTGCCTAGCGGTCGCCCTCCAGAGGCTTCGGGCCGAGCAGGCCAGCAGGTGGCACCCGAGCCACTCTTGGTGGTATGAGCAGGAGGCGGCGGCGAGGGCAAAGCTCCTGGACGAGGCGACCCAGGAGGTGGCCGGTCTTCGGAGCGAGGCCCTCCCTGGGGCCTCCGACGAGAAGTGGGGCGACCTCGCCTTCCACGCGGGGGTGAAGGGCTGCCCCACGGCGATCGCCAAGCTGCAGTCGTGGCTCCTGGCGTCCCAGAGGCGCGATGCCGCTGAAGGCGCGGCCGCTTGGCGCAGCTGGGCCCAGACGGCGGTGGAGAAAGGGGACCGCCTGGCCCACCGCTTCTCCACGGCGGCTCCCACGCCTGTGGTCAGGGACGCCGACGCTGGGAGGCCGCTCGTCGGCATGGACGCAGTGGACCAGCTCACGCGCGCGCGCGGCAGCGGCTCTGGCTCCAGGACGGCTTCTCCCGCGGAGTTGGAGCCCACAGGTGGGATGTTGGCTCGTGGACGCTGCCGCCCATCACCCCGGAGGCCTTGCAGCAGGCGTGCAAGCGCTACGGCCCGTCTGTGGGGTTGGGCTGCGACAACCTGCACCCTCGCCAGCTCCTTCTGCTGCCAGTGGCGCTCCAGCTTCGCCTGATTGACATCCTCACGGCGTTCGAGGACGAACCTTCTTCGATCGAGGGACAAGTGACGCTCATGGTTTTCATTCCTAAAGCTGATGGAGGGACGAGGCCCATCGCGCTGCCCCCGCTGGCCTTGCGGCTTTGGTCCCGCCTGAGGCAGCCTTGCTGTGCCCGATGGGAGTCAGACCACAGCTTCCCCTTCTTCTGGGGTCGTGATGGCCGTGACTGCGAAAGAGCGGGCTGGATCCACAACTGCTTCGCGGGCTTCGCGATGGCCTCCCCGCATTTCGAGGTGGCCAGCCTGTTCCTGGACATCTGCAAGTTCTACGAGCACGTGCGCCACGACGTCCTCTGGTCGTCCGCCCAGCGCTTCGGCTTCAACCTGAAGCTGCTGCGCGGCCTCCTCGCCATCTACCAGGCCCCGAGGATCGTGCTGGCAGGAGGCATGGCGTCGGCCCCCTTTGGGGCCAGTGGCGCAGTGCTGGCGGGCTGCGCGTGCGCGACGGCTGTTGCTAAGCTACCCATTATTGGAGGCCTCCTCGCAGCTGGGGCTCAGCGGCCTCTGGCCATCCTGCGCAACTTAGTGGACGACGTCTCGCTCCAAGCTGTCGGCTCGGCGAGGCTGGTGGTGGACCAGCTCGTGGGGGGCAGTGGGGAAGTGCTGCGACACCTGCGGGATCACCACCTCCCGCTTAATGAGGGCAAGTCCGTGTCCCTGGCCTCGTCGGCACAGGTGGCGGACGGCCTCGCCGCCAGCTGGGCAGCCCTCGGCTTCGAGGTCAAGCGCGGCCCCCAGCCCGCAATCTGGGCACCGACGCCAACGTGACCCGCAGGGGGGTCCATGAGGGAGGCGCCCGCGCTGTGGGAGGCCTCTCCCGTGCCAGGCGGCTGAGAACCCTGGGCTCGGCGGGGGCCGCGGTGGTGCACTTGCACCGCGCTGGCCCAACCGCCGCCATGTTGTGGGGCAGGACCTTGCAGGGGTGCCTGACGGCGAGCTTCACTCCTGGCGCCTGGCGGCTGCGCGCTCGGCAGGGAAGCTTCCCAAGGGCGCCTCCCTTGGGCTGAGGTTCAGGGCGATCGAGGTGCAGCGCTCCACTGACTTGGACCCGAGCCCAGCCCTTGTCCGCGCCGCGGTGCAGATGGCAGCCAGCCTCCTCCAGTCGGGAGAGGTGCCCCTGAGGATGTTCGCTACCTGCCTGGAGGAGGCCGAGCGCAGGCACGGCAGCGCTTGGGCGCCCTGGGTGAACTGCAAGAACCCCGTCGACGCCCTGGCCCTCTCTCTGTTGCGGGTCGGGTGGCGCCTCTCGGCTGGGCACATCATGCGCACCGACGACGGCCACGCCTTGGACATGATGGTCATGGGCCCCCGCGAGCTCGGACTGCTGGCCGCGGCAGGTGCTCGCAGGGCCTCTTACAGGGCTGAGATGGCGCGGCTTGGGCACGGTGCCGCCCCCGCCATGCCCTTGTTCTGGGGCGCGCTCGGCCAGGTCATCGGCCCGCGCGGCAAGTTCAGCTGCAGGGAGAAGGCCGCGGTGGTGAGCTACCTGTCAAACGCCCACTGGCCGCAGACTCGCCTCTTCGCGGCTGGCGAGCGGGGCCACCCCCGCTGCTGCGCATGCGGCGAGGGGCGTGGCAGCCTCTGGCACAGGCTCTTCGAGTGCCAAGCCCTGGCCGCTGAGAGGAGGGACTCGGTGTCCGCCCGCCTCCTTCGCTGCGCCACTCGAGTGAGGCAGCGGGGCGAGGAGGCGGGGGAGTGCTTCTCCAGGTGCTGGCTGCCGCAGCCCCCGCAGACGGCCTGGAGGTCAGACGCGATGGCAGTCGTGTGGGTGAACAGGCCTGCCGACGGGCTGCTAGGCGGTCGCCTCTACCTCCACGGCTCGGCGCTCGACCCTGAGTTCGAATACATCTGCAGGGCAGGCTGGAGTGTCGTGCAATGCGACGAGTTCGGCAACCTGCAGGCGGCGGTGTACGGCACGGTCCGCCTCGACCTGTGCCCTTTCCAGACGGCGAAGGACGGCGAGGACTTCGCGG